TTTTGTTTCTAAACCAAAAATGATTATTGAGGATATTTCTAATATTTATTTTTGGAGAGTAGGGGGATTGGACTATTTCTTAAGACAAGACCCGAACCCGAAAAAAATCTTCAATGAGGGTCATGTCGGAAAAAACACTAAATTCTATATGGTTGAATAAATTATTAATGTTAACGAATATAAAATAATTAATATTTATAATGTTATATAATTAATTTCTTTAAAATATATTTATTTTTAATTTCTATAGAATCTACCAAGAAATGAAGATAACTTTAATAATAAATCTAATTATGTAATTCTAATTAACTTTTAAATATTATTTATACTATATAATATTTTTAAAATGGTAATCAAAATGAATATATGTGATTATGGTTAAAGATTAAACATTTGTAATTATCTTATTAAAATTATATGCTTATATTATGATCTTCCACAGTAAAAAAAAAAAGAAGGAATTATTTGTAATCATTAACGAATAAAATATTTAATTCTATGACCAGATATAGTTGTACATTTTTTTTGAAATTTTATAACAAAAGATCATTTTTAAATATAAATTAACCTTAAATATAGAGAGTAGTTAAGTGGGGTCCATGATATAATCCTCTCCTACCCTTAATTAAACTGTATTATATAATCATATGCACGTCTAAGATTTTGGAAAAGGGGGGGGGGGTTGAGTGGTTATTCCCTTAAAATTTTATTTTGGTTTTGATCTTTTCAGGCCTTTTATCTTGCATTCAAAAACAAAACTTGATTTTAAACCGACAAATGTAAATTTTAACACTGGCAGTCATTTCACAAAGAGTCGGGCTGTTAATAAAATGATTAGGCTATAAAAAAATACCGGCCTATTATATGAAGTCCTTATATTTTTAGTATCAATCTGATATGGTTTTTGAATTATGATAAAATAATGGTAGTCTTCTCTTGACGATAAGCTTGCATGATTTCGGATAATTATTATCAATTTTTGAATCTAGCTTCATCTAAGTCTACAAGTCAATATCATTGGTGAGGGTTAGTCTAAGCTTTACTTTTCTGACATGATATTCACACATGAGTATCGATTGATTAAGCTTATATTAACATTGATTTGCTTTGTCATTCATCGCTACATCTTCAGGGTGAGTTAAACAGAAGCATTACAAGAAAATCTGGAAGCTCCCATCAATATGGGTTTTTTCTCATAATTTAGGGCCTCTCGTCTGTATAGACAAAGATTTGGCCTAACCTTTTCCACGTCGTGGGGTTAGGGAAAGTGGTGGGGGTAGTCTTAAATATCTGGAGTCATTGCTTGATAGGGTCAAAAGTTTTAGTATTTATAATAGCAATAAGAAGCTATTTAAACTTTCTAGGATCTATAATAATTTATTATCCAGATCTCTCAGGAAATACCTCAGAAAATAGGTTTTACAATTTAAGGTTTAGAGTTTTTAATTTATTATATTAATATTAGAAAAGACTATCTTACTTGATCCACAAGTTTACAATAATATAGACTACTTATTAAAAATCAATGAAAATTAACTTAAAAATAAATAATTTTTTGAGTTAAATTAAATTTCAAATAAATAACTTTAATTTATTTTTAAATAAATAACCATAATAATTTTGATAATGTTTAATACCTAACTATCTAAAAAATAATAAGTAAACTCCTCTTTGAAAAATATGAAAGAAATCTTGTCCATAATTCCCAAAATCCACCAGAAATATGGTGAAAGGAACTTTGATCGTAATCAATATAAAGATACCTATATAGTACATCCAAATGTCAATGCAAGTGAATTTGAGATCTATAAGAAAATAGAATATTAGCGAAATAAAGGATGATGTAATTAAATTAGATTTACTTTTTAAAATCTGATCATTCTTCAGTTATTTTTTACAAGAACTGCTTAGTGATATGATTTTTTATGGGAATTAGGGTTAGGGAAACGCTTCTTTCCGGAGGTCATCTCCACTTTGGGCAACTTCGGTCACGAGGCTTATCTATTTCCTAAAGTAATAGGAAAAAAATTATCTGACCTCTCGGGTGACCCCAAAGAATATGTTTATTAAAACACATACTTGGAAATATTCATTTCAATTTTTTTTTATCAATTCAGGGTTCCATGCAGTTTTTATATTTAAAAAAAAAATTTATTTAATTTTTATTTCAAATTTTTTGAGATATTTTAAAATTTTCAAATTTTAATACAAATTTTTATTATAAAATTTTTATTAAATTATACAGAATTTCGGATTAGTAAATTATATGATAAAGGTTTTTTTATCATTTAATAAAAAAATAAATTCATACCTAATCTGCATCAGCTCCAGTCCGCGGAAATCGTTGGATAAATGCGATCATCTTCAAAATGACAAAAATTTTCATGAAAATTCGTTTCGGAAAGGGCAATTTTTTTTAAAATCATCTCTTTCCATTTCAACCTATATTTTAAATAATAACCTTTTTGTCGGTTTATAATGCCCGATAAAAAATTTAGCCAAAATAATATTATGTAAGCTTTTAGATTTGGAAATAGATGTCCAAAATTTTCTGACACCTATGACCAAATCTCTAAGATAATATAATAATCAGGCCCTTTTTTAGTAATCGACCCAAATAGGGTCGGATCGTTTAACCCCTACCTTTTGTGAACATTTAAAAAAAATTCTATATTTTGTATGAAGTTAAGCAAAAGATATTTTAGTTTTTCTTCTTTTGTTATTGTTATTGTTAAAAATCCATGCTACTATTGTATATAAATATATAAACACAATGCAATGCATTACAATTACACCTATTATAGAAGTGGTTTAAACTTGCATTTTAGAAGGGCTTTTCTAGAATTAAAAAAACAATACCACTTGTTGGCTTTTTAATGGGAATCAGAATTTTATCGAATTATTTATAAATCAACATTTTACATAATATATTTGCTATACTTTTACGCTAATTATTCTGAGAATATAATGAATATCTTGATGATAGCATTTCAATTATTCGCTAATATATTCGAAAATCGTAATTCAAATTCGTATTATGGGTAAAATATTTTATTATTTTTTGTATGTAAGTTTTTTCTGGAATAACGATCAGTATAAATGATTTTATAAGCGATTTTAAATATTAAAAAAATTTTGATGTTAACGGGAGATGCATTCCAAACAACATGTGTTGAGTAATTACCGCTATAAATTAAATAGATCGCCCTCCGTATTGATTTGGAATTGAGAGACTATTTCGAATTCTCGCGTATTCCGAATAAACTTACTTTATTTTAAAAAAAGGATAGATGACATAGGCACATCCATCTTTATGGGGGAAGGGCGTTATTAGGTGGGAAATTTTATTGGAGGTCTTTTTAAAATAAATGTATCTTTACTTTAAAAAATTTTAAATTAAGTCGTTATTTTTGAAAATTATTAACTTATACTTATTTTTCTTTTAAATTGTTAATAGCGATAATTTAGGAGGGGGGGGGGATTTTTATTAGCTGTTGGGGTAGGAAATTTCCCTCCTTTCCCACCCATAGGTTACGCCTATGATTGATGTTATTTAAAACTGTATCTAAATAGTCGCTTTATTATTATTATATGGTTCTAACTTCACTTTTGGTGGAAATTATACAGACCTCGAAATCGAGTCCTCTTTCAAAAAAGAAGAAAAAAGCTATATCCAGAAAAAGTAGATCGGAATAAAGGCCTATAGTGAAAAAGGATCGTTTCACTACTTTAAAAAAAACCAAGTGGATCAAAGCAGTGTTAGGGCCCTTTTGTACAACAATCAATTTCAAAGTTAAAATCTCAGGATCGGTAAATATGAGGGGGGGGGGTACCTTAATATAGCCCGCACCAATTGAGCATTTCGGAGATGGTATTGTATAAATTGATCAAATTACCACTTAGCATTAAAAAAATCCCAAACTTGTTTTTCCTTTCTCAATACTTTTTATTCATTCATTTATTCATTCAATTTGCAAGTTGAATTCCTACGAGATTTTTAAGAACCCTGTTTTTTGGCGGGAATGTCGATATAATTTTGTTTTCCAGTTAAGAAGGGGTGGGGAAGGGGCACTTAATAATCCCTTCCTAGTTGTGTAGTTATATGCTAAAATTATATTAAAATGTAAATAAAAATTACTTAAATTTAAAAAAAGGTAATATTTAAAAAATTAATGAAATCAAATGGTACACGATGATTATAATTTACAAAAATCAATTCTTTTTTTTATAACTTAAGCCTAATCTGCAGTAAACGCGTTATTTACATAATCGCCAATAAATAGCTATAATTAATAAATATGTAGGGTTATGACGATAAAGCTCCATTGTAATATATTAACGCTCAATGTGTCATTGTAACGCTACGAAGAATCAGCTGTGATTTCGATAGAGTCGAATAATGCAACGCTTGAACATAGCGTTAATATAATTTAAGCCTTAGTTAAAATTTTGAATTAACGAGACGAATAAAAAAAAAACCTCAATTTAAAAAAACGTAAACGCTTAATTTGAGAATATCTATATTATATAAAGCATATTTTATATTTTATCATCGGCGAGTAGGGGGAGGGGGGCTAAGTGTCATTAGATTAGTGGAATTTAGAGGGCACGGGGTTCAGAAACTTCCCGCTATTTTATTTTATATTGCTCTAAAGGTTAATAAAGAAAATTAAAACTATAATGTTTAAAATGGCTGTTCTCATTTTTAAAGCAAAAAATGATCACGTGAATAATTTAGAACCCCATAAATAATCGGAAGAAAATGGAACATAATTTAGGAGAAAATATTATTTGAATTTCCATCCTAATTAAATTGGAAAAATTAAATTTATGCTGGATTCTTCTCCATAGCTAATCCTATCAAGTTTATAAGTTATCTCTCTATAAACAAAAACATTATTTTTTAGCGGGAAGTAATATTAAGTCAATAACTCTTATCTTCTTAACCAGAAAATTATAGTATTTTATTATTGTTTTGCAAATATACAAATATATTAAAGCTTCAAACTCATAAAAGTTGCGGCTCAAAATAATTCTGATTACCAAAGAATAGTCGCGTTCCAAATAAATCACCCGGAAGTAAGATAATTGACAAATTTTTCTTATTTAAAATGTTATGTCTATTGTTGTTTACTTTTTTTCAGGGCGAAATATGGACTTATTATAAGTCTGGAACCTCCGTTCATTCCGATGTTATGATATCGAAAGTTGATTACAAAGACTTTATATCGTTATTGAAAAAATGGAATATAAAATTTACCATAAAATTATACGATATTCAGAGGTTTATTTATTTTTTTGAAATACCCTAATATTCTTATATTTTAAAACGTGCTAAATAATAATAACGGCAATCATCTAATCACATATATGCTCTTCTGATAAATAAAATATTCATAATTTTCCCACCTATGTTCTATTTTATTCATACAATACATAATCATTGTATTGTATAAGCATGAAATTTTTTTTAATAATATCATTTCTTTAAAACGTAAGTGATTACTAAAAGTTTAATGCAATTTAAGTAATTATCACAAGTAATTTTGGGGCCATGGGCCTAAAAATAAAAATTTTACCCTTTCCTGAATTAAGTCGTATTTGAAGGCTTTAATTGCATAATCTGGAAAATATTTATAAAATCTTAACCACTGCCCAGCTCGAGCCCTCCAAATTCTTCTCATTTTAATGAAAAATATTTTTATTGAATTTAAACAGTCTCCATGTTTCATTAATACAATTTTTTTTATTATATATTTTTTCTCCGAACGGTATTTTAACGAGAATCATCCTTTGTCCAGAATTGGATCTAAGCCCGTGTAATTCGAAAATATTATAATTAATCTTATTAGTAAATATGTGTAGTGGGTTACAGCTAAAATACAAGTATTTTTAATAATTCAAAAAAAATATAAAAGTTGAAATTATAAAAAATATATTTAATTCAATAAATATTTTTTTGTACGCTTAAGATTGATAGATTATCAAAATAAAAAGAAATTCTCGTCATATCCTGTTCGATTACCAATTACCTCCTTCGACTTTCAGCACTATCCCAGAATGAATGAAGTTTGACTCCATTTTTTTTCATTATCTTGTGAAATATCTATACATTATTTCCGTATTTTCCTCATGTTATTATTTTATTTTATATTTTCAAGTTTAGAAAACGTTATATTAAAACTTAGGAATCTTCCTAGATTGACTGACTTATTATACAGTCAAAATTAAAAGAGTAAGAAAGATAGAAAGATAGAAGGAAAGAGAGAAATGATTTGAAAAAAGACAAGATACAGCTAGTATTGTTAAATGGCTGCTAACTCATTATTTTAGCCAGAAAAATATTGCCTAGGCCTTAAGATTTCGATGATACATGTCTAGACCTTTGTTCCTTCTATGAGCAGAATCTTCAGACTTACGTAATATTTTTCTGGATGAAATATTGAGTTAGCCGTTTTTAAAAATCGGCTCAAAACTAGACGTTTAACAACACTAGATACAGCCTAGTACTATAACTAATTTTTATAAAACCTAATATCGAGAAATTATCCCCTAATTAGGTTTTAATTGACTAGGGATTCAATCTAATTTGTTCTGTTTTTATTTAAAAAAAATATATTTAGGTGTATGCATGGTTTGATTTTTTAGCTGATAAATATCCCAAATGGATAAAAGTATTTGACATCGGAAAATCTTTCGAAGGAAGGCTAATGAAAATTATCAAAGTTTATTGATATAACATCTCTTTATTTTGTCATAGACATGAAATGATTTTTATATTAAAAATATATTAAATTTTAAAAAATATAATATAGTAAGGCATTCAATGTTCAATTAGTTAAGTGAAGATTTATAAGTAATATGCTTAACAATATCTAATTATTTATATTGTGTTTGAAAAATTTATTTTTAAACCACACAAAAACTCAATTAATATAAATTGCGTCTAATTATTACAGTTTTAAATATAACGAAAAAATCACACAAAATTTTGAACTGCAATATAACTTAGTTTTTTAAACTTTCAGTTTTGTTTAGTGTTGTTAAAGGGCTCGATTTTTTAAAAAATAGCTAACCCAATATTTAAAGCCAAAATATATAATGCAAGCCTCAAAATTTCGTTCGTATATTTATAACTTGCTCCTAAACATGTAAAATATGCGATGAATTACATCTACCTCACATAAAGATATCGGTATTCTACAGATGTCCTAACCCTTTCTGCAATCCGTAAGAAAAATCCACAGCCTTTCTTAATATTGGCGGCAAAAATCTTTGGTTAGCCGTTGTTGAAAAATCGAGCCGTCTAACAAACATTAGTTTTGATAGAATCGGTCTGCTAATTTTTTTAAAAGGAATTCCGACTATCAAAAACGGTCTACCCCTGTTTTATGCTTTCAAACTTTTAAATGATGGCCTAAATTACATTTAATAGATTTCCACATTATTAAAAAAAAATAATGTGATATAGATAGGGCACGATTCGGGGTCCAAAAAGGCCGCCTTTTTTGTAGATGGTGGAATACACGCGCGAGAATGGGTTTCAGTTACGACGGCCCTGTATTTTATATCTCGAGTAAATAATATTTTTTATTGTTAACGAGGGGAAATAATAATTATAATGGAACTAAAACTAATAATTTATTAAGTTGTTAGAACCTGAAAGATGGACAAATGATGCGAAAGTTATCAAATCTATGAATGATCTTTTAAAAACAGCTGATTTTTACGTAATGCCAATTCTGAATCCCGATGGCTACGAATATTCACACACTAAGGTATTTTTTAATTATTATTTTGATTTAGGACAAACACAAAATAAGAATAGAACATTAGGATTAAATAATTACAAATTGTATAAAGAATATTGAACTGAGCTTTGTATATAAAATTTCTGTGAAATAATAGCATCATCTCAATTCCGAAAAAAATTGTCAGCGGAGGGCAATTACACCGCGCGAAAAATTGTGTAGGTTAAGGTTAGGTTTATAGTTAAAAGAATAAGATACTTTGTCGGTCTCATTTAACCTCAACCAACCAATCAAATTAATTGAAGTTAATAAATATTGACCAAAGAATTCAAATAAATAACGGCTATTGCTGAATAATTTAAGAAATTTCGACAATCTTTTTTTTTTTAAAAAGATTGTATTTTATTTTATAAATTATCATTTTTATCTAAGTTACATTTTAAAGGAATGACTGTAGTAAACTGAACGAGTTCCTTTAAAGTATATATGTGCCTAGTGAACTCTTTTTTTGTGATGATAAACGTGACAATTAACTAGTTTATTATATTACACATTTGATAATAAAAATATTAATTAGGACAGATTATGGAGAACAAACAGGCGACTAAACCCGGTATCTAAATGTGTCGGTGTCGATTTGAATCGAAATTGGGGTCATGTATCATGGGGCACCAACAATGGTTTACATTAAATTTACATAGTTTTCTCTTTAAAACTGGATAAAAAATTTTCCCTATAATTTAGGGTTAAGCTTTAAAGGTTTGGCCCATGATGAATCGTGCGGGGAAATTTATCAAGGAACAAAAGCTTTCTCCGAAATCGAGACGAGAAATGTGAGAGATTTTATAAGGAACCGGAAATGCGACATCCTCTCCTACCTAACTCTTCACGCATATGGCCAAATGTGGATGTACCCGTTCGCTCACACTCACGATCTTGCGCCCGATTATAAGGAATTAGTAAAAAATAAACTACATAACAATTTTTTAATTTGGAAATGATACTTGAACATTAACATTCTTTAAATTTATTATTTTCTAGAGTGATCTGATGAGAAAAGCGACCAAGTCTTCGGGTTATATAACTGGCAGCGTTATCAATCTCTTATGTAAGTTTTATCATAAGGGGTATTTTTGAAAGGGGATACAAGTAAAACCCGATTATAATATTTAAGGGGAGGGTGATATTGCATAATTTTTGCATAATATACTTTTTTTTATATATTCAATGAAATTATTTTTAAACAATTACCAAAATACTGTATATTTAAATATTTTTTTCCCCATAGTAGTGTTGCTAAACGCCTCGATTTGAGCAGATTTTTAAAAATGGCTAACTCAATATTTTAGTCAGAAAAATATTGTCTAAGTTTCAAGATTTCATTAACAGTTGTTCAAACCTTTGTGCCACTGAGCAAAATCTTAAGGTTTGCATAATATTTTTCTGGATAAAATATTGAGTTAGTTTAAAAAATTGGCTAAAAAGGAGCGTTATACAAACACTATTCCCAAGAAAGGGGTTGGTAAATAACGCTATATGTAGGGTTAAACCTGGGCCTAAATATCAATGATTTTTGCAATAGAAGACTTGATTTTATATTTTCTAGATCCCGCAAGTGGTTCATCAATGGATTGGGCTTACGACAATATGAAGATAAAATACAGTTTTGCGGTTGAATTGAGAGATCGGGGAAAATATGGATATTTATTGCCGAGTAAAAAAATTATACCAGTTGCCTCCGAGGTGTGGGGAATTTATGAATATATTATTTTTTACGTGTTAAAAAGTGGAACGAGCCATAAATGCGCTCAAAGAAATATAGGAAAAAAATAAATGATTTTACTCTGTCTGTTTAATTAACACTTTTAAATAATGTAAAACAAAAAATGGGTCTTTAAAGCGCTAAATTTTTACGAATATGCGATTTTTAAATCCTTTTAAAGAAAATTTTTATTAACTATAAATATATATTAGAGGTCAGTACAGCCTATCCCACCGGACACAAAATGTGCAAAATATTTTTAGGGGGGCGAAATCGATAAAAATGTTTTTTTTAAAGTCGTTTTCTACCTTAATACAAAATTATGACCTTCCGGGTTAGACAACTTGCGCAAAATATGGTTTAAGAGCCGGGCCAGGTAAAAATAATTATGGGCCGAATAACTCAATATAATTTTTTTTTGCAAAACCGGTTCGCGTTGTGTTCAAATATTTAATTATTAGTCGTTGGGCATTAACTAAATAAATTTTTTAGTGCTTTTAATTCGAGAACATTTTAAAATATTATATTTTCGTAAATTTGGATAAATAAAAGTTCGCTAATAGATATCCAAACCTTCGAGCCATCTGTGACCAAAATTCTTCACGCTTGCGTAATATATTTCTTTTTAAAAATCGGGCTCAAATAGAGCCACTTAACAACACTTATTGCGTCGACGAATATTTTTTGAAAAATAAGTTGCTGTAAAATAAATAACTAATATATAGCTATATTTCCAAATGGTAAGTTTTAAAAATAATGTATTGTATTCCCAAAACCATAATCGTATTGTTCTATCTACATATAAATTATTTTGCGAAAGGAACACTCTAGGCTCATTAAAGAATTCTATTTTGTATTCCCATAGCTTAATTTTTTTTTTTGAAAAAATAAATAATAGGTGATTTCAAACAACTATTGGGAGGGGGGGGGTGTTGCACTTGTTTAGCTTTTTCATATTTATTAATTTTCCGTGATTTGACTAAGATCAGGGAATCAGCTGTTAATACTCGCAATGTAATAAAACACAACCTATTATAAATTTGGCACTTGCTCTAGAGAATATTTGAAAAACTGTGCTTAACGATAGAGAGAAAGGAAATTTTACGCAATCAATTATAGCCCCTATGCACTTTTTAAAAATTTTATAGATAAAAATTAGGCTACGCATTGATATTTAATATGTTATTTTGCCTTCCGGATATACCCTATATATTTCGACTAAGCCAAATTAAATATAGACATTGCGTTTTAGGTGCTCAAGATAATTGTATCCTTCAAATCTGAGATAAAATTACACATTATTATTTAAATATTGTTCTTATTAGAAAGGTTCGAAACACATTAAACTAGACGTAAAATATTAATCTATCGAAAACATATACATAAAATATATTTGCATTTTTATAATAAATTTAATTTAAAATTATAATAAAATACAACGAAATATCTATTCAAAATTTCGTAGAGTTAACTGACTTTAATCAAAAACTTCTTAATTAGTTCAATAGGTAAAAAAAAGAGGTTAAATCATTATTAAGTATAAACTCATTATTCAGTGAAAAATTAAATTTTTGAATAAATATGAATATTATGAATATCTTGATCATTGTGATCCAATTGATCACTCATATGCCTGAAATTCTTAGCATGAAATCCTATTCGGGGTAAATGTATATATATAAATATATAATTTTTTTAAAAAAATTATTTTAAAATAAAATAGTTATAAGCTCATAAAGGTACTGACTAAAAATAGAACGGATTACGAAAAAATATATAAATTTCAAGTTAACCATCCTGATGTAAATAAAAATGAAGGTCAATGATATATAATAATATATATATTTTCCTAGAATGACATATGGGCTTATTATAATGGCGGAAACGGTAGGTATGTAGAAATTATAATATCAAAAGCTAGCTACGAAAATTTTATATCATTATTGAAAAAGTTGGACTTAGAATTCACGATAAAATTAGACGATATCCAGAAGTTATTCTAATTAAATTTTTAAAATTATATATCATCTTTTCTTTGCCAAATTACTGATTTTTTTTGTCTTTGAATAGCGTATTTAGATATGATTAGATATTAGAAATTCATAATTTATTAGCTTCCTATCAATAATCTACAATATCAAACATTTATTTTAAAAAAAAATTTCGGATGTGTAAGTGAATATATCAAAAATACTGAAGTAATCGTTCTAGGACTCTAAGGATTTCCGTGAGTATATAAGCCTTATCCATTCAGATAAATCATGTGTCATTATTCAACACTCTTTTCAAAAATTAAGACTCATAGCGTAATTTTTAAAAGTTTCCTCCACTCTTTTTTTACAGATTTTATGCCCATAATGGTTTTATCAATATATTATCTAAATTCTAATTTTCTTCAACTTCTTAATTTTTTTCCTATGCGCAAGGTGGTTCCATAAAACCAACTTTATATAATTTGGAACAGTAGTGTAACTACGTGGGGGTTATGGGTTTAAGAAGAGAATCTGATCCTCCATAAATTTTGCCCCTTATATGAGAAAATTTCTTTATAAAAACACTCTATTCTTGAAAAAATGGATGTAGTTCAGGTTGCACTTCGTTCGTCAAATTTAGCATTTAACACTTTTTCACAAAAGCATATAGGACGCCCTTATTTTGTTTAGTTTTTTTTAAAGCCTTCAAACACTTAAATTCATTCTAATCAAACAGTTTTATTATTTTAAGTCGAAATAATTTTAATTCGTATATCATATAAAGGGGATAGATATATATATTATTTAATCTATATATTTAGGCAAGCAAATAACATACAGTTTTCTGTACCTTATTAACAATCAAAACTTTATACCAAATCACTATTTATCACTAAAATAGGGTAGCCATTATTCATCTTATTGAAATGCCAATATTTTGTTGTAATAGGTTTTTAACATTTTTATGTCATAGCAAATTTAAATTTAAAAACAAACAATCCTGATTAGAGGTTTGCAATAGATGGGTTTTTAGCCTAAAAGCCTGCTCGCCCAATATATTCGCTCCCGCCTATAGTTTTAAAACTCTCACGCTAGCTCTGATCTTTACCCGCTCGCCCGCACTCCCATTAGTTTTTTTTACCCGTCGGCCATTATTTAGAAAGTTTTTAACCCATCAGGCAATGCTAATTCCATGTTCAGAAAAAGCACTTTTTGCTGGAATTGCCAACTAATCTTGATAACATTGATATAAATATATTACTTGTCGTTTCGAATAGTATATGTGTAGTATATCCACTACTCAAATGAGATATTTAAATAAGTGAAACGATTAATATTAAATAAATAAAAAAATTATAAAATTTAAAATAGACTAAGTTGTCTAAAATCTTGCTAAATTATATAAAAACTCGTTATTTTAAGATTTAAATATTTTGTTATGTCATTAGATAATACTCCTCATCTGTCACAGCCACATCTTTCCATCTGCTGTTGTTTAATTTTGACGTGGATGTTATCTACTCCAAAAATTGCATTTATAATTTAATAATCTTTAATTAAATTCTCTTTGCTTTTAAGGAAACGGATAAAATCAGATTTCCATTCACATTGATGTTAGATTCTTCCATGCAAATCTTATTATCATGTCATCGATATATTTATTACCCAATTAATTTCTTCCGGCGACAATACCCTCAGTTAGTACTTTGGCATTATAGATGTTAATTTCTGGGAGCATATTTTTTTTAAATTAACCCACCCGCCCATATTTTAAATATTTATCTTAACCCGCCCATCAGCTCGTTTGTTCTATAAAAAATATCCCCTGCCGGGCTAAAAAAAACCTGTCCAATGCAGTCTATTTCTGATCCCCTTTAGGACAAGTGTTGCTAAAGGGCTCTATTTTAGCCGATTTTTTAAAAACGAACTCAATATTTTGGACAAAGAAATATTGCATAAGCCTCGAAATTTCTTTAATAGATGTCCTATTTATGACGATTATTACAATTTTAATCAAAAACTATTAATTAGCTATAATTTGATAACAATATTTTATTTTAAGTTTAGAAAAAAATAATTACCCCTCCCCCTCTAGAATCTATACGCTCCAACTTAGAAGATTAAATAAATTAATCCGTTTCTTAGCATTGACAGATTTTATTTAGAATATAAGCATTCTTGTGTTCCCCATTTTGCAATTTTTATCAGAATTTGAAAATAAATCTTCATTTTGAAAAAAAATGAAAATTGCTTTTTTTTGATCAAACTAAAAATGCCAAAATCTTTTATATAATAATTTTAAATATAAAAGGTCTTCTTTCAAAGGCTATAATATAAATATATGTACAAAAAGAAGTTGATATTTATAAATTAATCTAATAAAAAATTTTATACGATTTTAGATTGATAGATTTTCAAAATAATGAAGCATATATAGTATACGTTTAACAATTAGCTTGACCTCTTTCGACTTTCAATTCTATCTCAGAATGGCTGAGGTTTAGCTCTCTATTTCAGCATTTTCTAAACATTACGGATTATTTTTTTCCTTATACCATATTAAGGTTCCTCATATTATTCTTATAAATTTGTGACAAAGTACAGAAAACTAGGTTTGTAATAAAAAGTTTATTTTCAAAATTCAAAGTAAAAATAAAAATGAAATAATATAAAAAAAGAATAGTATATATAGTTATAAGGTAATTGACATCATTTACATAGTAACATCAATTTAAGATAAATTTAAACATTGAAAATATCTTTTAAGGCTATAATAACATTTTGAGTTAAATAAAAAATCAATCAATCAACATATTCAATTCTAATTCCATATTTCAGTTTATAAAATGTTATACTAGAACATAAGCCGTAACCTGATTCTCCCTTGTTAAGCTATTTATATAGAGTCATTATTTATTTTTGAAATACCTAATATTCTTATATTTTTAAACTTGCTAAATAATAACTGCAATCATTTTAGCAAAATATAAGCTCATCTTGATAAATAAAATATTTAATAGTTTTACCACTATGTTCTGTTTTATTTATATTTACATAATCATTGCATTGTATATAAGCATAAAATTTTTTTGTATCTC